GCCGGGGCCTGGGGCCGCGTCCCTCACACGCCTGAGCAGCAGTCCCAGCCCAGTCCCGGGCACCAAGAGCGGCGGCCCCCGAGACCCCGCTGCCCCTTCACAGGGCGCCCGGGCACCGCGCCACACGCCGGGGCTCCTTCCCCTCAGGGCCGGCCACCCCAGGGCGCAGCTCCCGGCCGGGACGGGACGGGCGAGGCGGAGCCGCCTCCCCCTCACGGCTGCCCCTTCCCGGCCCCGCCGTGGCCCGCGGCCGGACCCCGCCTGGCTGTGCCCTGCCCCGCGTCCCGCGGCACCGAGGGGCCCGGCCCCGCGGGCACGGCGGGGCTGCGTCTGCCGGGAAGGGTCGGCACGGGCAGCGGCAGTGCCGCCGGGCCAGCGGGCCCGGCCCTGCCCGCTCCCCGATCCGCCGGGCCCCGCCGAGAGCCGCGGCCGGCCCGGGGCAGCGGGCGGGCCGCGCGTCCTCTGCACCCCGCGCCTCCCCCGGCCCCGCAGCCCCGGCCTGGCCGCGGCGGGGTGAAGGGTGAAGCGGGCGTGACTCACGGGCACACATCTGCCACTGCAAGCGTTTAGGAAATTGCCCTTCTCTTAAAGGCAACCGCGTATTTATTTCTCTGGGGTGAAAACCGGGGAGTTGCACTCCATTAACGCGTTTCAGTCACCAGCCCTGGCACAGAATGCCGAAGTCGGTGGAGAGCTGGATGCTGGTCTGGAGGAAGAGGAGAGCTTTGGCACTCCTGGTACAGGAAGAGGACTGGAAACAAGCAGAGAGGCGGATGGTTATGGTAGAATATATGCTGTTTATTTATGAAGGTAACCAGGACTTCTGACAAATTTTATATGCAGTTCCCTCCCCCCCAAATTAAAAAAAAAAACCCACCAATGTGTGTGCATATACATACGTATACATACCATACACACACTGCACACACACACTGTCATGCTTTCAAACAGCTCCATCCACCTTGTTCTCCTCTCTTGTCAAGACTTACTTCAGTTGGACAAATTGTTACGCAGCTACGATACAAGGAAGAAATGTTCTGCATGGCTACCAGAATGCCCAGGGGGCCTGTTTGTTTGTTTATTTTTCTCTCACTCTGGGAGAAGCTCCAGAGTCCAAAGGTGCAGCAGCACCAGGGACAAGCCTCCTTGCCCCACCACAGGCATCGTACAGCCTCATAACCCATGCCCCGTTCCAGGCACTCCTGCCTTGGGGTGGGGAGGCAGCAACCAGTACAGGACACTGTGAAGAAGGCAACACACACTCACACTCATCCACCCATACAAATAATAAAATAATGTTGCAGCACAAGGGCATAGTCTCTGTCACCAGGTAAGAAAGTTGTGTGATGGCAAAGATCTAAGTAAGGCAATAAAGTATAGCTAGTGTACATGGAACGGCTTTCACATTACATGAGGCACAGTTTGGGCACGCCTTGAAGAAGAGCTAAATGTCCTGGAATAAAGCAAAATACACTGAAAGTTCATAGTAAATACCCGCATCAATAGGTATTTATTCATTTGTGCTTCGCCACGTCGTGACATACAGTACAAGACACTGCTGCTCTTTCTTTCCACGGAGAGAGCTCACCATACTCTTGCAGGCTGCTGCTCCATCAGTCCCAGGCTGGTCATCGGTCCTGCAGGGGTTCTGCCCCTTGTCCCCCTCCCAGCCAAGGCAGGGAACAGGGCTCGGCAGAGGCAGCCCAGCCAGGCTGCGACAGTCCTGGCAGCAGTCTGGTGGCTGCCCCACACCTCAGTGCTCCTAACGGGCATCCAGGGCTGCACATCCTTCAGCCTCAAATCCTCTTGTCATCGCTGACATCCCCAGAGCTGCTCCTGCTTCTTGCACTGCAGGCCAGCTGGAAGGGGTCTGGCAGGACACCCCAGACACCACAACCCTCAAGCCTGCACGTCCCTCATTCCTTCTTCTTGCACCCTGCAAGGCTGGAGGGCATAGTAAGCCCCAGAGCCCCTGCAGCCAGCTTTTAAGGCACATCTGGGTTGCTATATGTGCTTTATTATTGTTTTCGTTATTATTATTATTATTATTACTGTTATTTACCCTGTGTAGACACGTGGTCTTTTAATTCTTTCTTCCCCTTGCCGTTCTCCTTAGAAAACCCAGCATGTTTTCAGCTTACTCGTGTGTCATCTCTAAGGCACCAACCTTTTAGTACTAGAGCTGCCTGGCTTCTTGTATAGGTCGTGAATTGATAAAAAACAAACAAAACCAAACCAAACCAAAACAACGCCCCACTCCCCTCCCGCCGGCACACCGCGCTCGCCGCACGCCGGTACAGAGTATCTGTGCGCGGGCAGGGCAGCCCGGCCGGTCCCGGCGCGGCGCTAGGCGCAGCTGCCCATGGCCTTCACCAGCGAGCTCTCGGGCAGCTGCCTGAAGATGCCCCGCAGAGTCTCCAGCTCCCGGGTGAGCTGCTCCACCCGCTTGCGCAGCCGCTCGTTGTCGGTGGTGAGCTCCAGCACCTTCTGCTGCGTCTCCACGTTGCGCTGCTTGGCCTTGTCCCGGCTCTTGCGCACCGCGATGTTGTTGCGCTCCCGGCGCACCCGGTACTCGTTACTGTTCTTGTCCACTGTCTTTTTCGATTTGCTCCGGTGGTCCGAGGGCATCATCTTGAGGGTGCCCGCGGCGGACAGGCCGCCGGGAGGGTGCGGGTGGTGCGGGTGGTGCGGGCTGGGCACGGGCGTGGGGGGAGGCGTGGGCTGCCCGGGCTGGAGGTGCATGGTGGTCTGGGCGCAGTGGGCGATCTGGTACTGGAGGTGGGACGGGTGCTGCTGCGGGGCGTGATGGGGATAGAGGGCCGACAGGGCCGCCGACTTCACCTCCTCCTCCTCGCGGGGCTCCTGCTTGATCACCAGCGGCCGCAAGCCCGGCGCGGCGATGCGCTCGTAGAGGGGGTCGAGCTTGCCGTCCATGTAGCCGGGCACGCAGCCGAAGAGCGGCTGCTGGTGGTGCTGCGGCTGGTGCCCCGGCGCCGAGGCGGCGGCGCCGGCCCCGTGCATGGTGTGGAAGTCGAAATCCCCGGCCAGGATGGCCTTGGCTTTCTCCTGCTGCTTGCTGTGCTGGAAGAGGTCGGCCAGGAACTCGTCGTTGAAGGCGGCGGGGTCGATGTAGGCGCTGATGTCGATGGAGTTCTCGTTCTCGCAGATATCGCCGAGCTCCGCGCCGCCCGCAGCAGGTGCCGCCGCCGAGGGAGCCTCTCTGTAGCTGTAGGTGCTGCCGGGCAGGTGAGTCTGGAGCTGGTGGTGCTGGCCGCTGCTCATCGGGGGCCGGGAATCGACCTCGTAGAAATTGGCTTGCTCCATGAAGCAACTACAGTCTGCCGGGCATGGTGAAGGGCTCCTGCAATCCAGGTTTCGAACGGGACGGCGGCGGCGGCTCTGGCGATCTCGCGGCGCGGTGCTGCACGGCACGGCTCGGTGCTCCCGGAGCCCGTCCCCCGGCCCAGCCCCGCTCCGCTCCGCTCGCTGCCTGCCCTGTTGCTAGTGGGCTGCGGCGGTGCTGCGAGCCGTATATATACCGCCGGCAGCAGGGCCGGGGATCGCCCTCTAGTGTCCAACCTCCTGCTGGGAACCTTTGACCGCCGCGCAGCCGGCTCCCAGCGCCGCGGCCGGGCACAGCCGCCCGCCCGCCCCCGGGCGCCGCCGCCCCGCGGGGAGAGCGCCCCGCGCTCCTCGGCCCCCCTTCCCCTGTCCCGCCGCCGCCCGGGCTCGGCGGGCGCTGAGCGCCGGATGCTCCCGCCGAGGAAAGTCCGCGCTGATAAGGGGCCCGGGGGAACGGCGCGGGGACTTTGTGCCCCGCTGCCGGGGCGCTCGGCGGGCAGAGCGGCCAAACGCGGCCGCTGCATTCGCCGCCTCTGCGCCGAGAGCTTCGGCCCAGCGCTCCCCGGCCGCGCTCCGCACACAGTCTCAAAGTTCACCAGCCGCGCATACTTGCAAATATTCGGCCAGTCGGGAATATTCGCCCCGTCGGGTTTGGGAGCCAAGGCGCTGCCGCACCGGCGGGGGTTACCTGCCGGCAGAGCCGCCGGGGTTACCTGCCGGCCGAGGCCGACCGCGCCGCATTCCGCCACGGCGCGGCTGCACCGGCAGGACCCGCGGGGCTCCCCGGTCACAGCGGGACCCGCGGGGCTCCCCGGTCACAGCGGGACCCGCGGGGCTCCCCGGTCACAGCGGGACCCGCGGGGCTCCCCGGTCACAGCGGGACCCGCGGAGTCCGGCCCCGAGCGCCGCCAGGACCTGCTCGGGATGCCCCGGCGGGCAGGGCCGCAGAGCTCGGTGGCCGCGGGGGCTCCCGGCTCCGGAGGCGATCGGCCGGGCCGCCCTGCATGCAGTGTCCGGCCGCTACCGCCGGTCCCAAGCCCGGAGGAGCTGCCCCGCCAGCGCGGAACAGCCCGAGTCGGGTCACCTGCGGGCCGCTTCATTCCCCGCACGAATCGAGCAGGTAAATTTAATGCCAAACGCGCACTCGGCGATCCTGAGCAGTGATGCCGGCCTTGGCCCGGGCTAAGGCGGCGCAGCGCGGCCCTGGCCGGGTGTCCCTGTGCGCTGCCCGGCCCGGCGGCATTCCCAGCCCCCTTCTCCGAGGGGCGATCAGTGTTCCCGCAAGTGCGGGACTGGAGAGGAGCTCCGTGTCCAGCCACCGCTTCCCTGTGCCTCCTGTGTATAGTCAGAGTCTCCTCAGGAGCCTCCGTCTCAAGCTTCAGTTCGGGCGGGGTGAGGATGCACAGCGCTCCTCTTGCTGCCATCACTCGCAGTACGGGAATAGATGTGTCTATCCCTGCTTGCACTGCACCCGGGTGCACCTCGGGCAGTCCCACGGGCATTCAGCTCTCCTGGTCCTGAAGGTCCCTTTGAAAGGACAAGCCAAGCCCACCTGGAGCAGGTGCGGGCTTAAAGATGCTACAGAAAGATCTGCAGGGAAAATGAATCAAACATAGTGATGGTTGGAGAAAAAAAGATGCAATTCTTAGTTCTCAGTGTTTCAGTAAAAGAGAAACTTGTGACAGTAAACTCCTCAGAAAAGGTTTGACAGATTTCTTGCAATTAAAAATTCAAAGGACTCAACGGGAAACAAAAATGACAATGCACCAAAATGCCATATTTTTGTTTCACACAATGCAGGTGTGAACTTCTGTTTCATGAGCAAATGCAAGGCCAGCAGAGTCAGTTGGCACACTCCAAGGTCCTCTCAGGAGACTGGATTCTGTAATTACAGCAGGGAAACATTAATTTACAGATCACAGAGTATACTTTTCACTATCAATTGAAAAAAACTAATCCTAAATTGTTTTATATGCAGTCAGTATTTTCTAAAATTATATGTCTTGGTTTCAGTGCAGTAGCAGTGCCTCACAGGGCTGCTTCCACAAGGAGCTGCAGCATTGTCTAAGCAACAAAAACACTCATAAGAACTCTGAACAAAGTCCTGGATCAGAGGAAAAGACTCAAGTCTGTGACAGGAGTGAATTTGAGGTGTTTCAGAGTGGAGAGTAAAATGTCCCCAATTATCCAAATTCAGCTTGTTCTACTCAAGTGAACCCATTTCCAGAAATGGGACAAACACACAGCTGAACGTTTTGCCTGCTGGGAAAAATATCATCTGGAATAAAAGCTGGTAAGCAGTTTATGCTCAGAGTTTTCAAGAGGCCTTGTCTGACTGAAGTCAGCAGAAACAGGAATAGGCCATGAACATCTAAAATAAAAAGTCACTGCTGCATGAAACAGCAGAAGGATAACTAAGAAAGTGTAAGCAGAATTGTATCACCAAGTTTGTGATTTAATAAGAATACCTACACCTCTCAAGTCTTTAAAACACTCTCACATTCTATAATCATTCTGAAATTAAGGCCTAACTACATGTTATAAAAAATTAAAGTAAATCAGAACTTTTAGGATCAGATTCCATTCCTAATTACTGTAATTAACGAACAAGTCCCCACAATTTAAGGACTGGTTTGCTCAGTTTTGGGTTTTTTTACATAGACCCTTTTTATCTAAGTTAAGAACTTTTAAGTTTTCTATTTTTACTTGGAAATCTAAATTACAGTTCAAATTATTTTAATATAGTATAAAATAAAGTTCCCAGACTTATCAAAAAGACATGTATTTGTCTTTTTATTTTTACTGCCTGTTTGAAGACAAATAAGATATATAAAACTGACTCATCCTCAAGCAAGCAGAAATGCTTATTTCCCCATTCATATCAACAGTGATTGATACCAAATAATTAAAATATTAAAGAGAAAACTTGTTGCTTAAGTTATACAAACAGGGAGCTGATTTAACTAAGAGGAAGGATGCATACCATGGCTCCCTGAAGCAGCACTGTCAACTCTTGAGGGTGCTATTCTTCCATCCCAAAGCAGATCTTGCTGTCCAGAAGCTCAGGGAGGGCGACTAAAGTGCTCCACAATTCAAAAACAGCAGCAAGAGTCACCTGTACCGAGTCAGCTGCACTGTCTGCTCAGGGAAGGAAACATCAGAAAACATCACTGGGAAGGAACGTGACTGAGTGCATTTGTGACGATTAAGAGTTTTTAATTGCACTGAAACACTGAAGTCTCTTTATTTTTTCACCTGAACTCTGCTCCTGAGTTGTTCTCAGGCCTGTCAGTCCTGTGGGCTCCAGGATGAGTTAGTGGCTGCAGGATGGAGCTCTGCCTGCTGATCCAACAGCCTAGCATGTGGCAGCCCTGTTAGGAACTGGAGTGCAACTGCACATTTATTTTACTACCTTGTTAAACCAGAATATTTAATTGCTAGTGACAAAGCTCCAGGCAGGAGTTTGCACGCAAAACTTCTGGGGGTGAATGGCAGCAACAGCCCAGCCTCTGCTCTCTCCCACCTGCAGGACTGGTGAGGGGAAAGAAGACCAGGGTGGGCACTGTGGAGCAGAAAGGATGGGACAGCTGCCGTGGGAGTGACAAGAGGATATTATCCTTACTGCTTCCTGAGGCTTCCTGCACCTGGGGAGTAGCAGGCATGGAGCAGCAGTGGCTTCCTATGCAAATAAAGAGCTGGCAATCTACCATCTTACTTGTTGTGGTACACTGAAACACAAACTTCTCCCCTCTCCTGTTGTGTTTTCTGCCCGAGGGAGGAGACACATGATACTGCACATAAAAGCTGCCACACGTGACAATTTTCAAAGGAAAAGACTTTATATGCCAAAGCCTTGGAGGCCTGTAGATCAGAATGCAGCAGTGTCTGACAAGTCAACCAGAACCTTCCCTTCAGTAGGAAAGGCAGCTGGGGACTGCTTATCATGGTCCAACCACACAACAACAGATGATTTAATGACTTTATCATTACAGCTTTTCTCCTTTGGAGAAACACAAATCCAAGGTGAACCAACTCAAATCCGTGTTATTTTCCTCTTCTTTTTTTTTTTTTTTTTTTTTGTACTATTCCCCTTGTTTTCAGGGTGTCTATCAATTCTTGGTATCCTTCTGCTCTACTGACTTCTGGCTCTTCTGCTGAGAGCTCAGTCCTTTGCAATTTCCAAGCTAGGTGACTGAGGGCATTTCTCATTTCCATTTACCTGATAACTGCTCACTTCCATTCAAATGACCCTCACAGCCCAATCTGTTTCCAGCTTGTCACCTGTTATCTTGCACCAATCAGTCTTAAGTCCATTCACAATCTTTGCATGGTTAATGAGCCATTGCATACACAGTTCCTCTCGTATGATTAGGACCATATTTCACTGACCATATCCACTGTGCCCAAAACACTGCAGATGTTTTTCAGATACAGGATTAAATCCTTTTCCAAAGAACATACAGTTGAAATACCACCAAAAACCAAGTCAACAAGTGACACTGTTGCTCCTCATCTCTCAGTGCACTGTTTCCTTCTGCTGTACTTGGCCATCACCTTTGCCTTAAGACTTCCACAAATGATTTTATGATGTTTAACAGTGCATCTAATGGCATGCATCAGGTATCCCTTTGCTCAGTATTTGGCCACAATCCATTCCACTATCAACAATCACCCATTCACTCTCTCTTTGGTATTTCACCTCTTATTAAAGGATAACCTCCTTTCTTTCACACGTGAATTTCCAATTGTTTGTCTTTCCCTTACAAACTTCAATGGCTTCTCTCACCATGAATGGCTCATCATCTTTAATTTGTTCATGCTACATCTCCCTGGATGATGGAGCAGTTTATAACTCTCTATTTCATAGCTAGAGAGCTGTGAGATTAATGCCTTGCCGAGGCCATACAAGAAATACATAACAAAGCTGAGTATTTCATCTCTCCTATCCCCTAACATCAGCCTCCTAATATCACCACCAATGAGCATGCAAAAGTTTGACTGCTGCATTCCTACAAAGGAAATCCTTTCATGCAGTGCCTTTTTGTTTGCTGGTTTTTTAAATGGAAATAGATCATTTTTTTTGTCTGAAATAAATTTATCTCTGAGGTGAACTGCCAAGAAATATAGAAAATACAGCTTATTTTCTTTTAGACCCTAGCCCTAGTCTACTGGATTGAAGACTGTCATTGATCTCAGCAGGAACCTGTGCAGACCCTTACCTGGCATACAAATGATGCAGCAGAACATAAAGCAGCAGAACAGTAAAAGGGTATCCTCCCCCAAACTCAATTCTGAACTGTGCTTTTAGGGAGGTGTTCTGAAAATATTCTCTGAACATTGTGGCTCTTAGACTTGGGCTAGCTACTTTTCATGGCATTATACAAGAGATAATCCAAACCCAGAGATTTAAAAGCTTGTAAATCCATAAAAATAACTCCTTTTTTTTTTTTTTTTCCCCACTCAGGTGACACCAACTTCCAGCATTTAATTAAGATGCTCTCAAGGTGCTACATGAACTGTGCAGGGAACTCAGATTTACAAATCTCAATGTTCTAAATTGTACCTAAAACTAGATGCTGAAATATCAGTGACTTAATAGTCTTGTCAGCAGGACTGCACACCTGGGTTAGCAGCAGTATTTACCAAAATCCTGCTAGTTAGAGCAGCAGCATCTCCACACTTGTGTGAGTAATTCACTCATACCCAAAGAACATTATGATAATGAGCTTCTCCATAAAACAGCAATTTGCAGTATTACCTAAAGTGGCATCTAAGGCCCAACAACTACATTGGTTTCAAAGCACACCTACATTGACACTGGGAGGTAACACTGAATTACAAAGAAAATACCCTCGTTTGTCTCTTATATATGACTGTGCATTAATCCTTTGAAAATACTCATGTAGTCATCCTGCAACATTTTCATACTTGTCCTTTTAATGTAAAAGGTGGTTTTTAAGCATAACTTTGGCAGTCCATATTCAATCCAAAATCTTCTGGTTTCAAGAAGGTACATCTACAAAGCTGAGCTAGTGCTTGAGAAGACTGCCTAAGTAATAAGGAATCTTGCCACTGACTTAGATGTTACATTTTGCTGTTCTCAAAAGACTTTCAAAAAGAAGATGAGACAGCATTTCTCAGGCTTCATCACTCTTTATAGGTAGTTTGCACTGTAGACATTATTTTTTGAGTTTCTGAAGAAAAATATATATATGACAAAAATACCAAAAAAAGTTAAGCATTTTCCAGAAGTATAGAAAGGATGCTTTGTTACACAAAAAAATGTACTAACAGAAGAAGATATGAAAAGGGAGAGCACTGGGACTGGAAATGAAGAGAAAGATCAACTTATAAAAATAGCCATGGCATTTCTTAATTATGTATTTTAGTACATGACACATCATGTCACAAAACTTAGACCTTGACATGGACAAAATTCTATGTTCTCATCCAACTTATTTCCCTTTAGGAGAGATTGTTACAAGGATCAGGATTAGGCTAAAGAGCAAAGATGTAGTAAAAGTTTACGTTCTGTAGTACAAAATGGATCTGAAAGCCTCATGCTGTTGTCTCACAGCTGAAGACATTGCTAAATCCATGTCAGACTCCAGCATGAGAGCCCTCAGAGAACTCAGGGATCTGGTGGGCTTTTTCTACTCCTATTGTGAGATTACAGTGGAGCTATTGTGAGATTCACTGGGCACTGGGATAACCCAGGACCTCTCAGTTTTGATTGCCAGCCTGCAAATATTTGATGCTGAAAGTACCTATGGAATTAAGGACTAGGATTATAAAATATGAAGATAACATACTTTTGGTGTAAACCTTCTTTTATTAGTGTCATAAAGCATTCAACTTCAGTGGCAGAAAGTTTTGGGAACACACTCAACTTGTCTTTTAAAATGTGAGGTTCTCTAAGTATTGACTCTAAATTAAGAGGAAGCACTTTTACTGCTCAGAGCAGATGCCATCTTGGATCTTAAAATCTGACCCCCCTGTTCTTTAATTATCCCACTATTAGCCAAGGGATTACTGGCACGAGTAATCCAAGCAAGAGCTGGCTAAATAAAAACTGTCAATGGCAGCAGGAGGAAAGGGAGCTGAGGAAGGAAGTTCAGCAAAGTTCTGAGAGTCACTTAGTGACATCACCAATGAATCCAAGCCATGAGCTCCTCAAGACCTTCAGATTTACATTTTTTTGTTCAAACTGGAATCTTATGTTTTAGGTAAAATAGATCTTAAGTGAAATAAGAATCACAAAACAAGTAATCTAATGATCAGTAGAGTTTTCCTGAAAAGATTACAGACAGATGAATATCTAGAATCCAAAGTTTCAAAAGTTTGGAGGAAAACAGGACTGGCTACTTCAAATGATGTTTCTTGGAATAAACCATTCTTTCTGCTTAGTGTTTAAAGGCAGCTGACATCTGAGCTACAGAATAGTTTGAAATAAATATTATCAGAATTCATACAAATACAATCAGAAGATTTTATTTGATGGAAGCCAATATATTTTTTACTCATTTTATGGAATAATAAAAGTATTTTGCTTGCAATAATATTTCAGAAAGTAAAAAGCCAGTGACAGTACGAGATTTTTTGCAAGGTTAGGGTATCTAAAAGCTCATAAACAATGCTGAAAAGACGCTGCCCTTCAGATGGGAGGGATCAACAATGCCATGTGACTTACCTGGCCATACTTAATAGAAGAGCTAAGTATAATCAAGGCTAATCATTCAGCAAGACCCCAGGGCTAAGAGGTCTCTAGTTCCAAACAAAAAGTCCTTGCAAACTACATGTGTTTTCAAGTAAAAAAAATGAACAAACTATGAAATGGGCTCCCATACAGCAAAAAAGTATATTTTTTTCTTCTGCTATAATTAAAGATAGGAAATGGAAATAAGGTTTTGGACTCTAAATTATTCACTTTGAATAATTCTTTCAAGCCTAAACAATTATGCTAGATGCTAATTTGTCACACTGTGACACAAAATAACTGGGAGAAGCAGGGTAGATGTAAAAGGAAAGAAAAAGAACCCAAAAAAGCAAACTTGATTTTCTGACTGCAGTATATATACAATAGCAAAAGTGGCAGTGGATTGGAGGGTGTAACTGCCACCTCTCCAACCACACTGGTCAAACCAACAGTCCATCAATTCTCTCCACCCACAAAAAAGAATGTGAAACAATCATTATTTATATGAACAGTGTGTGAGAACACTCAGTTGAAATATGTAAATATCAGAAGGCATAGGAACTTCTAGAAGAACTTAAAACTCTCGAAAGAACAGGGCAACACTAATTTTAATGAAATTACATGTAATATGAGCATAAATCCTACATTCCATGACAAACACCAAGATTATATTAATGTTATGTAATTATATTAATGGTGAATATGAGCAGTACAAGCTGCTCACATTTATGACATGAATGTGGCAAATATAAAGTGAAATTCAACTTGGCAAACTAAAATTTAATTTCAGAAAAATAACTCCTGTATTCTTTAAAGCAGGCAAAAAATTCCAGATTTTTAATTACATGAGTTGCATGATTCAAAAAAGAATTCATGCAACGTGTTTTAGTTGTGCTGCAGTTCTTGCTTTTATTTTACTAAAATATATGAGTTTAAAAGGAAAATGATGATTTAAAAACCTGTGTGACACAGAACCCATAGCATGGGAAGGCTGAATCCATGCTGGTTGTCTGCAATCTGCCACTCAGCTGCAAAAGACAAGGACAGGAAAGTGTAATTTGGCACAGAAGCCTGTGGCTCCCTGTCAGAGTCACAACTACTGACAGTTGCCACAGGTAATACAGCTGGCTTTATGTTGGGTAACACACTACAGCTGATAGTGGGTCAGTATTTTCCATTTAGAAAAGGGCTATTCCCCACCAGCATGAATGTTCTGGGATGCATTAGAAAGGCTTAGTAGATGGAAGCATTTATGTGACTAAGTGCAGGGTTTATGGACCATTTACATTTAATTTAAGTCATCAAGAGATCATTTGCATCTATGGTAGGGTCTAGA